AGCAGTAAAAGTTAAGAAGGATTCCCTTAAGCAGTGGAAAGCCAGTCCAAGTGAGGTAAACAAAAGGTAGCACAGACTCTGGTGATCAGAGGCAAAAGGGGACTATGAGGAACATACTGGGAAAAACATAAAGACCAACAATTAAAATTTCCTCAAATATGTTAGAAGCAGAAAAACAGCCAAAGAGGCAGTGGGGCCTTTGGATGACCAAGGGGGTGAAAGGATTACTAAAGGACAATGGAAATGGCAGAGAATCTGAATGCCTTTTTTTTTGCCTCTGTCTTCACTGTCGAAGATGGGAAGTGATTGCCAGCTCCAGAACTGTGATTTGAGTCAAATTGAGGTGATGAGAGAAGAGGTCCTGTGACTGATTGACAAATTAAAAATGGCCCAGATGGCATACATCCAAGAGTTATGAAAGAACTCAAATGAGAACTTGTGGATCTCTGACAAAAATATGCGATCTGTCACTAAAATCTGCCTCCATTCCCAAGGACTGGAAGGTAGCTAATTAAACCCCCATCTTTAAAAAAAGGCAAGTTGGTGGAATTCAATTCAATTCAAGTCAAGTCAGCCTTTATTGGTGGAATTCATTATTAAAGACAGAATTAGTAGGCACATTGATGAACAAAAGCTATTGAGGAAGAATCAACATGGATTCTGGAAGGGAAGATCTTGTATCACTAATCTTTTAGAATTCTTTGAGGGAGTGAACAAACATGTGGCCAAGGGTGACCCATAGATGTTGTTTAACTAGACTTCCAGAATGCTTTTAATAAAATTCCTCATCAAAGGCTCCTAAGTAAACTCAGCAGTCATGGGATAAGAGTCCTCTTGTGGATTAAAAACTGGTTAATTAACAGGAAACAGGGAGTGACTATAAATGGGCAGTTTTCACAGTGGAATGTAATAACCACTAGGGTACTGCAGGGCTTGGTACTAGGCCTGGTGCTTTTTAATGTGTACATTAATTATTTGGATTTACAAATAAGCAGTGAAGTGGCCAAGTTTGCAGATGACTCTAAGATGTTCAAGACAGTGAGAGAACCAGGCAGTTCTGTGCGGAGCTCCAGAGGGATCTGTCGAGGCTGAATGAGTGGGCATCAATGTGGCAAATGAGGTTCAATGTGGGCAAATCGAAAGTAATGCACATTGAAACCAAAAAACCTAACTATAGATATATGCTGATTGGGTCCGAACTGGCAGTAACTGACTAGGAAAGAGACCTTGGAGTCGTAGATAAATCACTGAAGAAGTTGACTCAGTGTGCGATTGCAATAAAAAAGGCAAATGCTGTGCTGGGGGAATATTATGAAAGGACGTGAGAACAAATCTATGGTGTGGCCTCATTAGGAATGTTGCGTACAGTTCTGGTCACCACACCTCAAATAAGATATAGCATTGGGAAAAGGTACAGAAAAAAAGCAATTAAAATTACTATGGGAATGGAGCAGCTTCCCTATGAAGAAAAGTGAAAGAGGGCCCTGACCTGGATAGCCCAGGCAAGCCCAGTCTCATCAGATCTCGGAAGCTAAGCAGGGCCAACCCTGGCAAGTACTTGGAAGGGAGACCTCCAAGGAATACCAGGGCTGGGATGCAGAGGCAGGCACCTCTCTGAAACATCCAAGCCCCACTAGGGGTTGCCAGAAATCAACCACGACTTCCAGGCATATTCACACACCCTCAAAAGAAAGGTTAAAGAGGTTAGGGCTTTTTAGCTTGGAGAAACAACTACTGAGGGGTGACATGATAGAGGTTTACACAATTACGCATGGGATACAGAAGGCAGAAAAAGAAGTACTTTTCTCCCTTTCTCACTATACAAGAACTCCTAGACACTCAATGAAATTAATGCACAGTAAGCTTAGAATGGATAAAAGGAAGTATTTCTTCACCCAAAGAGTAATTAACACATGGAATTCACTGCTGCAGGAAGTGGAGATGGCTACAAGCATAGACAGTTTCAAAAGGCAATTGTATAAACATATGGAGCAGAAGTCCACCAGTGGCTATTAGCCACAAGGTATAGATGGAACACTATGTCCTGGGCACTAATGCTCTGTATTCTTGATGCTAAGTTGGGGGGGGGGTTTTCTGGAGCAATGCTCCCTCTAAGCTGTGGAGTCTCGTGAGCAAAAATTCTACTTTGTGAGCTACCAGCATGAAAGCTGTGAGCGAGCGATTTGGCTGCTGCATCAGTGAGTTTGCTCTGGAGGCGTCGTTCCTGAGCGAAGACAAAAATGTGTGAGCCGGAGGCTAAAAAACTGTGAGCTAGTTCGCACTAACTCAGCTTAGAGGGAACACTGTTCTGGAGTTCTGGCCCTGCTGGTGGACCACCTGATGGCACCTGGTTTTGGGCCACTGTGCAACACAGAATGTTCAACTGGATGGGCCATTGGCATGATCCAACATGGCTTCCCTTATTTTCTTACGTTACAGGAGACTCAGGGCAACCACTGAAAAGAGCAGCCCCATCTCTCCTCTCTTTAATAATGACTAGTAATACAAAACACTTAATGTGAAGAAACTTTGCTGCTAGCTGTGGGAGCCAATGAAGTTCTGTGGGGAGGAAGAAAGTCAGTATTACAAGCAGTGCTCCCTCTAAGTTGCGCTAGCCTGCACTGGTGCACAAATTCCCAGCCCCCAGCATACAGATCCCTGGCTGAGTGCAGGGCGAGGAAACTCTCCCCCACCTCTCTCCCTGGGCTGCCACCACTGCGCTGCACACCGCCCTGCCTGGCTACCTTCATCACAAGAGGGGGAAGAGGCACAAAGCCAAGCCTCCCCTCCCCCCACTGGCCAAGGTCTCCTTCCCCCTTTCCTGGGGAGGAAGGGAGCGGGAGCTGCCAGTCATTTAAAGTGAACAGCTGATTGGTGAGTCTGCCAGTTAGCAGTTTGGTTTAAAGAGTGGGAAGCCATTTCGGCACTCCCTTTGGCTTCCCTTTGCTTGGAAGCACGGGCAGGGGTGGAAACTAGTCAAAGGGTCGAAATTACTTATTTTACTGGCCAAAAAACCTCGCCAAATACTGCATTACATGCACCAAAAGTTCGTCTTTCTGAAACACTCCAGTGAACTTTGTAAATAAGTAGGCACTCTTGCAACAAAACATCACCTCTGCTTTCATTGTCACAAGTTTTAAGAGGTTAATTATGTCTCTATACTTTCTGGAAGATTTCACCAAATCACTTTTACTCTTAGGAACAAAGTGCCTAAAGTAAGTACCCAAAGTACTTAAAGTACTTTGTAACTGCAGGCCACTGTTCAATCAGTCTTGCAGCAGCACTCTCTAGTGATAACCACCTAGAAGAAACATGTTTCAAGAAACAATGATTTGGGATACCGAGATCTCTTTGAATTTTTGTGAAATCTTCCCATCATGATGGCCACCCTTCAAAAAAAAAACCCACGAAGAGGGGAAATTAAATTTGATGCATCATCTCCCAGTTCTGCCATGCCCCTACGGAACTCATTATGGACTATATGAATGTTACAAATGCCAGTATCTACTACAGGCTGTCTCTCTGATCGATTTTCCACAGCAGCTCTGCGCTCGCTCCTCTCTTTGCCCCGATAGTACATGTCAATTTCCCACTTGAAGCCCGTGGCCACATTTTGGCCCACAGCTTCGCCCGATTTTCCCCGCGGTTTCATAACCCTGTTTTTTGAGGATTACGAAACCGCAGGCAAAATCGGGCAAAGCCGCGGGTCAAAATGCAGCCGCGCGGCTTCGAGTGGGAAACTGAATGTACCATTGGGGCAAAGAAAGGAGTGAGCGCAGAGCAGCGGCTGTGGGAAATCGGTCTCTGTCAAAATAAGATAATCATTCATGAGTTTAGTGACAGCCTTGTTGACATTTGGCCCATCATTACTTAGTATTAGCAGTTTTGACCAAGGAAGTTGTGCCAAATCCAAAGCTTCATCCCATTTACTGTAAATATCTTTAGCTGTTGCCAAACCCATAAAAAAGTCTGGAGTTCCCTGGTCACAATCATGTTTTGGTTGGTGAGCAGTATCTAACAGCTACCAGCAATTCTTTGTAAGATGCTGCACTGGTGGTTTCATCATAGCATAAGGTGTAATATGCAGCATGAAAGTCCTTAAGCTACTGTTTTCTGAAATATGGGGCCAGCGCATCTGTTGTTAGATACTGTGCCTTTGTCCTTGAGACGGAAAAATGCTGGGGCACTGCATTTGGAAACACAAACTGGAAAGTTTCACCAATATGTTCACAAGAAGGCTCAAAAGTGAGTCAGCTGAAATTGTTTTCATTACCCAGAATGGAAAAAATCTGTCTTCTCACTGGGAAGTCACATGTTTTCTCCAAAATGCAGTAACGAAAACAAAAAAAACCCGCAAACTGCATTCACATAAACAAAGAAATACTGACTTTACTCACCCTTTAAAAAAAAAAACCCTGAGAAATTAATGACCAAGATGAAAAAACTGACTTTTACTGATTTTACCAAGCATTTTCCACCTGGGGATGGGGGGTGGGAGCGAAACGGATGACACTAATGGCTGCCCACCCTTTAAAGTGAACAGCTGACAGGTGGACCCTCTACACCGTTCGCTTTAAAGGACAGGAAACCATTTCAGCACTCCCTTTTACTTCCCCCTGCTTGGAAGTGGGCGGGGGGAGCGAAATGGAGGACTCTAACTGCTGCCAGTCCTTTAAAGCAAAGTGCTGATGGGGGCGCTCTTTCTCCTCCCTCCCTCCCTCTCTCTCTTTCTTTCCGTGATTTTTTAAATGTAGGCTCACACACAACTTTAATCCTATTAGGTCTTCTGGCTCATGAGACTCCACAGTTTAGAGAGAACATTAATTACAAGATTGTGCACCTCGTACTAGCAGACGTTACCAAATATGAGAGGAAAAGAAGATGCAAGGCTGGTGTTCTGTGAATCCTGAACATGTCTCATCCCTGCTTTATTGGGCTTCCATTCAAGTACAGAATTCTTACCCGTGTCTGGGGTTAACCTGCCTCCAAAGTACACTCACCTTTTGGATTAATGACACCATATCCTTTGACCAAGCAGCAGGATACATTACTGTGGCTGTCTTGAACACATGGGCAATTTCCGTTGCAGCAGTGCTTGAGCGGATATGATATGGCCTCTGTTGGGGGGGGGGGGAAGCAAAGAAAAAATTTGTCCAGCAACACAAATCTAATTTTGGAAAGAGGTCTCCAAACAGTAACACAAATCTAATCTTTGGAAAGAGGTCTCCAAACAGACACTCACTGGCATTTTCCAGACTGCAGCTGCCTTTTGAGTTTCATGGGTGTTGTGGCGGTTCTGATTATCACACCATTGGTGTGATCAATTCACATTTACACGGGCTTTTTTCCCATTTACCCCCCATCACAGTTCCATCTGTTCACCTTCACATTAATAATTGATTTTTCAGGGGGGGTTTCGGGGGTTTTGGTTTGTTTTTTGCACATGTGCTGAAGCATTGCAGTGTTTCAGCAGCCTCAAGGGGGCTATGCAATTCCCGTTAAAGTACACTCCCCACTTATCACACACAATCACACTTCCAGGACGAGCCTGCCCTAGAACACATGGGCAGGGCGTGATCCTCTTACATGAGAGTAGCCCCACTAGCTTTAGTACATCTACTATGGTTTAAAGCAAGGGGTGGGGATGGGACCCAAGGCATTCAAAGTAGCCAGAACATTGCTCTCTCTTCCCCCTTCCATACACTGCTGAGGCTTATGATTACTACTGTGAATCTTCTTCAGTCTCTCTCTGTATTGTTCTGGTAAACATCTCAATATCTGGTTTTTAAGGAACTGGAATTGCAGAATCCCCCCAATATCACCTTGAAGATTGACTCAGAATCTCCAAGCACATTTTTTACTGTATAGTCAATTTCCCTCACTTAGATTGCTTGGGAGAACTTAGTGGAAATCAAAGCAGCACCTTTGCAGCTGGCGATTTCTCTTTTCATTAAAGTTTTTTGGGGGGAAGGCAGGGGGTGGAATCCCACTATGATCTCTAGAGAGTTCAACTAGGGTTGCCAAGTCCTCTTTTCACCCCCAGCAGGGAACTTTGGGGGGGCATCCCGGGGGGGGGTGGGGGCATCCCCGACATGATGATGTCACGCTGGGGATGTCCCCCCGTCCACCCACCCGACAGGGGCGCTGGCTCCCTGCAGTTAAAGGGCCTCCTTTAACTGCAGGAAGCCGGAGTTTCCTCGTGCGTCCAACCTCCGTGGAGATCGGGCACACAGAACACCGGCTCCCTGCAGTTAAAGGGACCCCTTTAACTGCAGGGAGTCGGCATTTCCTCATGCGCCTGACCTCCGCGGGGCCCCCCGCGTCCTGTGACTGGAGGAGTGAGGCAGCTCCCCCACCCCTCTTCTCCCCCCCGGGATCTGCAATGGGGGCGCCTTCCTCCCCCCCTCCCCGCTGCTGGAGACAGAAGGGGGCAGAGAAAGTCCCTTCAGGAGGGCTGCGGGTGGCAAGGGGGACTGCCCAGAAGCGGACGGGTCGCCTTTCTGCCTCCGCTGGGCTCCTCCTGAGCGGACCGCCCCTCCCCTTCCCCCGCGGGCCCTTCCCTGGCCGGGCTGCGGGCGACGAGGGGCATTCCTAAAATTCACCCCGCCTGCTCCCCCGGAGGCCGCTCCAGGCGCTGCGAGGGCCAGGCGCGCTCAGGGCCAGCCGTGGCGCACAGGGCAGCAGCGGCTCTTTGGCGGGCGGGGGGGCACGCCCAGGCGGGGTGCAGTTTAGCGCCCCTGAGGGCCGGCACGCCCTAGGTGAATGCCTAGCTCACCTAGCGGGTGAGCCGGCCCTGAGTGGGGGACCCCTGCCAAACCAGGAGGTTTGGCAACCGTAAGTTCAACTTGAGTCCGCTTCCTGTATAAGCAGAGCAACAGGAGCTGGTGTCAGGCCTCTCAATGGGACTGAATGATTCAGCGCAGGCACCCTCCAGCACTGAAACTTTTCAACGCTGGCATGCAATTTTTTTTGTTTTAAGTTCGCTGCCCAAACCCACTCTTTCTGGGTAGGTTTTGGGTAAAAAACCCAAGAGGTGGGGGAAATGTTCAGATTCCAAGCAAGAGGCTATCTTGCAAATTCATTCCGCAATGGAAAACAGAAAGTACGGGAACAAACTAGTTTAGGAAAGAACCGGGGGGGGGGGGGGGGGTGGGGGCGAGTGGGGGATGTAGTTGTCTAGACACAAGGGGGGGAAAGGGTAACATCAGGGAATGAAATGGAGCATTAAGGCAATCTAGAAAACACCACTGTTTGTGCTGTTCTATGCATGGCTCACACTCTCCCACCCTCAGTTCCCCAGGCCCCTCCTTTCTCAATTGAATTACTGTCACTGGGGAGCCTAATTCAATTGAAGCACATAGGTCAGTGCAGGAGATGTTGGCAACGACAACAAAGCTACATTTAAAAAACAAAAATGAATGGAATGGCAAAGATCAAGGGTTTGCACAGGTGTCCAAGTAGCACTTCACTAACAACCTGCATTCATAAGAAATCAATTAACTGCTGAGGTTCTTTTTCAAAACAAAACCCCTTCTCATATGCCCTGAAATACTTAAATACTGTATTTCTAATTTATTTTCCGGAGTTGGAACTACATCTATTAAGACTTCTAAATAGTGCAGAGATATGGTCCCACTTTTATCTCCTTTGAGGAGGTGACAGACTCCTGAATATACATGATTTTCAACAAGGAAATGTTAAAATGTAGCTTGATAATAGGTACTTCAGTATGAAGAACTGTCTAAACTAAATGCAGAATTGCAGCAGCATCACTCATTCTATTATGGCTGTCAGCAGTTTCTGGAAGAGCAAGTTAAATTAAGGCCACACGTGACCATCCAAGCACCACAAGTGGACCTTGTTACGGGAATCTGTGGCAGAAGCAACAACAGTTGCAATAGGCATTCAGGCGTTCCTCTCTGTGCTTGTCTAGTACTGTAATATGTCCTATGCAGCAGGGCAGCACTCTCTCATGCTTTGGTCTTGACTTGTGGAACCATTTGCCAAAGAGGTTGCCTACCACACTTCTAGATCACTGAGACTGTTAGAAGGCATATAGAAAGAGTCTGGGGAGATACAAAAAAGTTTTAGAGATATTCATATTTCAGAATTATAAGCAACCTTTACTTCCGAGATCTTTTTTATACAGAGAAGAATGCTGAACACCTTATAATTCCTGTACTGAAGCTAGTTATGAGCATCTGAGTTTTGTATTATTTGAGTTTTGTATTACACCAAAGCCCTGAAACGGTTAATGTTTTAAAGTAGCCCACATCTGACAAATGCTGCTGTTGCTGCTGCACTAGAAGGCCATTTACTATTAAATGTTTTCACTTCAGTTAACAACTTTATCAAGAGGCCATTACTAATGCTTATGTGTGACAGAAAAGACAATAAAGTAAGCAGTCAAAACCCTTGAGGATACACAGGGTAGAATGCTGTGAAATATCTCTGTCATTGGAAGGGATTTGTCAGCAAATGGGACTTCCTTGCCTTCTCCCTATAACCCAAAATAATTCACAAAATGCTCCTTGTGGGGGGAGACAGCAGAGCAATGTTTTGCCTGAGATCTTATTCCATTAGTGGTTCTGGAATGACTGAGTGGCATGTGCTCTCAGTTACAGGTGTTGCTCTGCCTCAAATTTAATTGATTATAGATATTTATTTATATCACGCAAACATACACACAAATATCCTCCACCTATTAAAAATGGCTAGAAGATAGACCAGGCTACAATCCTGGACAGCCACATGTAGAAGCAGGGGAGAAGCCTGCGCACAGCTGGAAGCATATTGAAAGGTTTTTTTACTGCCAGTGCTCATCCAGCTGACTATCAGTTTTCAATTTGTGCCAGGTGACAGTTTCTCTCTAAGACTTCACCCAAAGGAACTACTTGTGCATACATCATCACAAAATCACCACAAAATTCTAGATTCCCCCCTTTTCTGGGATCTTGCAGGACAAGAAATTCACCAATGGATTGCCTACCAGACTTCTAAACTCTCCCAGGCAACATACAGCAAACTTTGCAAATGGGTTACTACCCAGTAGCAAGACATGTCAGAACATGAAATGTGTTAGATTACTAATTCACACACAGTGGTTCATTTCTTCCTCAAACTGCAGGGTCAATTCTATGACTGTACAGTGTCTTTTTAAAGACAGATTCTCCCCCCTTGCAATTTCTAAACTCCTGAAAGTTTATGACAACTCCCATGTTAGAAATTCACATTTATCAAATAGATAATTTGCCTGCTAGAGTGAAGTGAGTCTGTCTAGAATTTTAATGAGTACATCACAAAATGCATAAAGATTTTGATGCAGATGATTTCTGGACACCCTACAAATGACAGCCAGATAACATGTGAATGAATGGTACAGTACCCGGCCTCTCAGAAGTTCATAGGCTGTTACACCCAATGACCACCAGTCAACGGCATAGGAGTAGCCAATAGGTTTTGTGGAGCTGAACATCTCAGGTGCTGAAAAAAATATGTTTTACTTTAAATTGCAATCTTATACCAGTTCTATAGGCTTCGTTGTCCCTTGTGGAAATAAACACTCATTCTATAGTGTAAGCATACAACTGTTTTTATTTACCAGGTATAGTTCTCATTTTCTGTTGTATGTATGTGGTATTCATTCATTTATTTTATTAGTTTATGGTAAATTACTGCTACTGTTTTTGTTTTGAGAAGATGTTGGAGAATGGAGATACCTTTTAAACACACTCAAACACACTCACAAATAGTATTTGGCCCCTTCTATTGACACTTCTGACCAGGGAACAGGTGGGAGGAAAGCCACTATGGTGCAGTGGCTCACTAGGTGACCATGGGTCAGTCATTCTCTCTCAGCCTAGCCTACTTCACAGTCATTCTCTCTCAGCCTAGCCTACTTCACAGGATTGTTGTGAAGGTCAAGCAAAGAAGGGGGAGACCTTGTATGATATCATGAGGTCCGTGGAAGAAAAGCAGGATAAACCCTTCTGTAATCTAGTCTCTGGATAGTATATGTTACTGAATATTCTTGCATGATTCTGTAGTAAACACAACAAGATCCATTGTAGGATCAAGCATTCATAAAATATTGCTATAGTCAGTTTACTAATGCATCTTGTTTCAGAAGTCACTGAAGTTCAGGCTTTTAAAAGCTGTGCATTCGAGTTTTGCTCACACGCTTAGTCATAAAACATTACACAATGGCTCAAACAAGCAAACTGGCCTGCAGATGAAAAAGTCTGGAATCACCCTAATGTAGGTGCTCTGCAATCACAGTCAATACCTTCTGAATCACACAGATATAGGGATCAAACCCTACATGTAAAAACAGATCAGAAGCTCCTTCAAATGTTCTTAGTACTTTCTATTCTCAGTCCAACTAGCCCATGAACTCATTCCTGTCTCTTAGGTTTCACAGATAGGGGAAGAAAATCTTTCTCTCATCATGCATTTCAAAACTGTACCATATAACTGAGGACTGAATATGCTGAGAATGGAGTGGGGCCACAAGGAGGATGTGAAGTTGATAACTACATTTGGAATATGAACACAAAGTCCAGGAGCAAGCACAGTAGAGACGGCATTAAACAGGGCCTGTCAGCTTTCCCAGCAAAGGATCAAGGGAAGCCTTAGAAGCCCTTCCTCTTAATCACAGATGTTTTGCATGTGGGCATGGAAATGAGGACAGCCGACACTGTCGTATGAGATAATTAAAGGGCCAAGATTATTCATCTTTACATTGAAGCAAAAAGCTGGGATCTGCTGTACCCACAGGCCAGCCCTATTCACACCCCCAGTTGTGGTGCAGCCAGGTCATTGTTGGGATGCAGAGCAGTCTGGCCTCCTCTGTTCATTCATTCCCAGCTTTACAGTGACCACTGACCCCTATACAGCCTTCCCCTACCCCCCCCCCATGAAGCACGTACAAGGAGGCAGCATAAAGGAGGTCTTCTCTCCCCTCTCATGGCCATGGCAAAGCCCACCCCTTCCCCCTACGCTACAAGAGAGGGGTACATAACCTTTTCCATGTTTGTGTATGGGGGGGGGTTAGGCTGGATAGATCACCTACCCACTCTCTAAAGTATACTTTTTTGTTCTTGTTACTACTACCAGGGCTCTGTGTTTTACACTTGTGAAACATTTCAAAATATCTCTTGTGTTGAATTTCTCCACTGGTACACCTTGAAACTGGTCTCCATTCTTTCCTTTTTTATACACAAGGAAAGTTATTCATGGACAGAGGGAACCTGAGTCCAGATCAAAGCCTGCCTAGTTTAAACCAACATTATTTTATCAGATTACAGGACCACTAACTGTTTAATCAGAGACTATGCTACTGTGCTAACTTGGTTAGAATTTCTGAATGAGAGGAGACCTGTTCAAAAACTAGACAAAGAATACATTTTCACCTAGCTAATGGAAAGATGGAAGTAATAACATATTGTTCTAGTTTTTGTCACCACGGTATCTAAGACTATGGTCAAGAAAATTGGAGCTATTTTTACCATGTTTTACAGGCACATGTGAAAGTTCAAAAGTTCACTGCACAAAAACACCAGGCTCCGGGAAGCTGACTCATCACCTTCCTCTTCTTCTCCTTTTCTTTACAACCTTTTACATAATTTCCAGGTCACATCTTGACTAACGGTTTGATGCAGGTGGGTCACAAATTCATCAATATAAGAGAAGAAGAGTAGGTTTCTATAGCCCACTTTTTTCTACCCTAAGGAGTCTCAAAACAGCTTACAATCCCCTTCCCTTCCTCTCACCACAACAGGAACCTTGTGAGGTAGGTGGGGCTGAGAGATTTCTGAGATAACTGTGACTGGCCCAAAGTCACCCCACAGTCTTCATGTGGAGGAGTGGGGAATCAAGCCCAGTTTTCCAGATTAGTGTCCACTGCTCTTAACCACTACACTGGCTCTGTCGCCACCCAAGTGTGGAAATTGTTCTCTGTACTCATCTCTGTCACCAACGTGACATACCTGCTGAACAAGTGCCTGTGCAACCACTCAGCTACTATTATAATAATTCATGCTGAATCATTTTTTAGCAGCAGCAGCAGCATATGTTTGGGGAGGAGGCGAAATACTATGTTCACCATCATGGCCCACAGAAATGGTACCCCCATCTAAAGTGAAAGGTTGAAACAGAAGATCCTCAAGTGATCTTAGGTGAAACCCAAGCCCCGATGTAAGCAATTAACCATGACCTGTTCATTCAAATTCATGTTTATCCTCATTCTTCTACAGGACAATCCTAAGCAGTGTTACATGCTTTTAAGTCCACTGGCCATAGAATGCTGTATTTTTTATTTTCTTTATTTAAGACATTTTTATGCAACCTTTCCATCCTATCAGGGTTTACAAGACTGGGAACATAAAACTATTAAAACATTTGAGCAATTAAAATATAGTTAAATATAAAATAATTCAATTAAAACACGTAAACATAAATTCTTAAGATTACACTGCAAATTAACGATTAGTCATTAACATGGGTGCCCCATTCACACTTGACAGAACAATGCTGTCAGTTAGCACTTTACTTCTAAAAATATATATTGCTCTGGTTGCAATTGGGGCTTTAAAAGGACTGAGGAAGTGTAGTGTGATGGCTGTGGTTTAAGGAAGATGCATCAACACTCTATATCCTCAGTTAAAAACCAAAGCCATATATGATAAGTCGTACCCACATAAGTAACCTGAATGTCAGCTATTAACTACTCACCCATGTATGGCTTTGTACCGGCAATGGTGGTGACCTGCATGTCCTTGTTTAGTACTGTGGCAATATTGAAATCTGTGATATGCACATGTCCTAAAAGAGAAGAAAATCGTTTACTACATTTATTGAAAATATTTTGATTTCACCTTTCTCCCAGTCCACGGGAATCAAAGCAGTAGCTTATTTTTTTTAATGAACATTTCACTTCGTAGGTGCTCCATTCCAGCGCTGGTTATTAGACACTATGATCAACTATGTTCTTTTGACTTTTTAAGCGTTATGAATAATTTATGTGGGAACAGGGAAGCAAAGGATTTGATCAGCACCATCAATCATTTTCACAACATCATTTAAAGCTGCTATCATCATTTTCTTAACTTTTCCTCTTAAATACTGTGGACCAAATTTCATTAAGTACTGCGCGTATAAACAAGCACTTATATGTCAGTGCTCTGCTGAACTGTCATGGGAGAAATGAGAGCCAGTGTGGCGTAGAAGTTAGTATCACATGAAGATCTAGGAGACCCAGGTTTGTATCCTCAATCTGACATGGGTGCTTGCTGGGTGATCTTGGGCCAGTCTCCCACTCTCAGCCTAACTTGCTTCACCAGGTTGTTGTGAAGATAAAATGGAGGAGAGGAGAAAGATGTAACCTGCTTTGGGCAACTACTGGGGAAAACGGAAGGGTATAACTGGAGTAAATAATAAATGAATAATAATAGATGGAACATGTGCCTTAGGAGATGCCATAATAAAATCAATACAGTGAACTCTATTTCACTGGACTGTGATCCATATAAGTATTGCTGATCAGAAATCCAGACTGAACGAAGAAGGTTGGGTGTGTGAAGGGCTCTCCTCACACAACAACTATCCTATGGTTTTATATGTGAATTCCAACACCCCAAGGGCTCTCACGAAGAGAGAGCCTGGGCAGGGAGATTTTCTGCTAACTTCTGCAAGAACTGGCAAAACTTGCAGAAGAATGAGCAGTCTCTGAAGCAAAGAACCATAGGAGGCTCGACGCTAGAACGCTGAGCAACAGAGAAGCCAACGGAGAACCAAAGGAGTCAAAGGGAGGAGTGAACGTGAAATGGGAAGGAACACCAGAGGAAACTAGCCAAAGCTAAGTAGAACAACAAAATACTGCTACTTTAGTCATCTTTAAGTGTGCAGGGGAAAGCAGATAACGGGCAAAAGAAAACTAAGTACAGCAAAAAGGGGGGGGGAACCGGCTACTAAACAAGTTAATGGCTGTAATAGGGGTAAAGGGAAGAGACCTTAAGGGTGAAGGGGGGGGAAAGGAAAGGGAGTTTAGACATATATATAGGGATTAAATACTTTTTCTTCGCTTTTTCTCCACTTTTCCGAGGTGCTGAGGAGTAAGAGCCGTATCACTTTAAATTTTCCAGTGTCCACTTTGGCGGCGTGATGGTACAGATCGGGGAGAGGAGATCGGACTGAGCGGAAGAGGCGTGGAGGAGGCAGGAACAGAACGCAGAGGGGTGGAATGGCGTGAGGCGGCGTGCTGACGTAGCGGAGGAAAACAATGCGGTGGAAAGCGGGGGCGAGTGGAGAGTGGAGAAGGGAAGCGACGTGACTCGTGCAAACTACAGGGGAAAACAGCAAGCACTGCCTAAAGCTTCATTGATAGACTGGAGTTAATACAAAGCTAAAGAGTGACTAAGTAAATATAAACACAGCAAGGTGGAGGTGGATTGAATACAATAGTAGATTGCATGAACAGAATAAACAGCGCTATACCAACAAAACAGGGGAAAGGGAGTAGGGAGAAAGAAGGAAGTTTGGCTATAGATACGAGAGAGGTACAAGAAGGAAGTAGAAGCAGGATATAAATACACTAAGAAGCAAGATGGACATAAATTAGGAAATTGAAACAAGGGTGGAAAACTAAGATTAGTGTAATCAAAAGATATAAGACCAGAACAAACAAAAATAAAGCAAGCAAAGGAATAATAGGGAACTAACAATAAATAAACAATAAACAGAAAATATAAAATAAGAAAACACTAGAGATTACATGGCAACGGGAGGGAGTGGTAGTAGTGGTAGTAATAGGAAGCCGTCCATACCATCACCAGGTCAAGTACAGCTAAAAATAAACACAATGAGTAACATGCAACTATAGCTCAAGGACCTAAAATCGATGATACAGGAGTGTGTATTGCAGACAATGAAGAAGGTAATTGAACCAATCCATGAAAAAATAAGACTGACAGAACATATTAAAGTTGAAACTGAAGAAATAAAAAAACAAATAAGGGAGAATAGACAAGAAATTATAAAAATTACAAATAAAGCTGAAGTTAAAGAATGACAAAATAGAGGAATCATTAATACATATTGAGATGAATAAAGCAGCGCTGGTAATGAGGTGCCAGAATATTCCAGAAGACATAAAAAAAGATCTTAAAGAGATACTGGTAGAGAACTTGGCAAAACAGAGGTAGGAACCAAAGAGGAAATATCTAAAGAAATAGAGGCTGTATATCGTAGGAACTCAGCTTTTGCTAGGAAATTTAAAAAACCAAGCGAAATGCACATAAAGTTCTATAGAAGAGAAATGAAAGATAAAATCATAAAAGCAGCCAATGAAAAGAAGATAATAATAAACAATATGGAGATTAACTTTTTAAAAGAAACACCCTGGCGAGTTAGAGAAAAAAGGAAAGAATATGGACTTTTAACAAGTCTACTGAGTCCGGTCTATGGATTGGCGATGGCGGTCGCTCTCCCCAGAGCTTGGGGAGTCGATCAGCACACCATCGGCATGGAGGGGTGCCACCTCAAGTGGCACTCCCACAGAGCCTTTGTAAAAGGCTCCAGGCCAGAGGGCTTTGATGGATAGCCTCTTTGACGGCTTGATGCCGGAGAATCGAGGCTTCTCTCCGCTCTGACGGTCCTATCGAAGAGTGGCCTTAGGGCACAAGCTAACCCGACCGGGACAAGCGGGGGAGACCGAGCGGAACAACGATCGATGTGAGCGGGGTCAGGAATGTGACCAACAATGAATGTGAGTTCTAAGTAAACAAACTTTGATAAACGGCACCCCCCCTCCCCGTGGGAAAAGCAGAGCACAAAGAGGGACGCATCTGAAGCACAACGACAGATAAACGCAGCGAAGGGGGAGTGGGAGGAAACAAACAGCGTGTGTATTTTGAGAGACTTTGTTGTTGTTCAGTCGCACAGTCGAGTCCGACTCTTTGCGACCCCATGGACCAGCTCCCTCCAGGCCATCCGGTCTTCCGCCATCCTCTGAAGTTTGCTCAACTTCATGTTCGTTGCATCGATGACACTGTCTAACCATCTCATCCTTTGCCGTCCCCGTCTTCTTTGACCTTCAATCCTTCCCAGCATCAGGGTCTTCTCCAGTGAGTGCTCCCTTCTCATTTGGTGGCCAAAGTATTTGAGCTTCAGTTTCATTATCTGGCCTTCCAGGGAACAGTCAGGGTTGATTTCTTTGAGGATTGACTGATTTGTTCTTCTTACTTGAGTGCAAATAGCGAACTGACGAGTGCTTCGAGCCCGGGAGAAGCCGTTTGAAAGTGTAAACAAAGTTGAAAAATTGCGGCATTCCGAGGAAAGTTTAAAGCGAAGCCTGATAGAGTCCAAGGTTGGAAGAGGGAGCTGACGTCATGAAGCTGTTAGCGGATATGCTCAAGCCAGTGATGGATCAGCTCGAGGGTATTAACCAGCAACTGACCTCGTTAAATCAAAACTTCACTTCACAACAGCGAAAGCTTCCAGAAACGGGAAAAAAAGTGGAGCTGGTGGCTGAGAAACTTACAGAGATGGACACCTCAAGCAAGAAGATGAAGAAAAGAATGGGTGAAGTGGAAACGAAACAAAATCTTCAAGAAAATCATTTTTTGCAGCTGCAAATGGAAAAGGCTAATATGATTCTCAGGTTCCAGGGGGTTCCTGAGACAGAAAAAGAAGATTTGAAGAAGACTCTGGGTGAGATTATCGCTCCAGTGACAGGCTTGCCAGCGGAGGAAATAATAAAAGACATGGAGACAGCTTATAGGGCTTACTCCAATTATCTTTAAAAAAATAGCCTGCCTGGAGAGATTGTGGTGAGATTTGCAAGAAGACAGACCAGAGATGCTATACTAAAGGCAACTTCAGCATCTCCACTGAAATTTGGGAATACAATTATCAAGACTTTAAAAGACATTCCATTTGAAATTCATCAGCAGAGCTACAAGGAGTTAATTACTTTTCTTCAAACAAATGATATACAGTACAGGTGGGCGATTCCTGAAGCTGTCATCTTTAAAATCAACGATAGAAGGGAGAAGATAGACTCCATCTTCAAAGCCAAGGAATTCGATCACTAGTTAGCGAGCACAGAATCTACACATGTTGGATGCGTAGACTGTCCCCCCTGATCAAGAAAGTTCTCTCATAATAACTAATTTACTAATACAGAACAATGTGAAAAACAAGAACTCTACAAGTATATTGTTTTACTAACTCTTTTAATACTAATATTAAGGTTAACATAAAGGGGGTCTCCCACTCTTGGGTTTTTAGTTAGTGTGGGTTTCTTTCCTTTATCCATAGTTGTAGTTCCCCTTCCTATATTTTTCTTTGTAGTTTGTAGTCTTATTGAAAAAAATAAAAATACCCCTCCAGGGGTTTAACCCCCCCCCCCAAACAAGTCTACTGAGAAAGAACGGAATTGTGTATCATTGGCTGATACCTGAAGGAGTTTTATTTACGTTCAGGAGTAGGAGGCAACGTATAGACTCCGTATTCAAAATAGAAAATTGCCTGGAACAGTATGGAGAGGAATTAGGTTGGCAAAAAGAAGAAGGAGATGACGAAGATGAAGAAGGAGGAGAAGAAGATGAAGAGGAAGAGGAAGAAACCCAGGATACGGGAATGGAGGAGGGAAAATCAGAACAAGAACAAGAGAAGGCAAACGATAAGCCAGGGAAAGAAGAAAAAATTGAGGATAATACCGTTGCAAATACTAACAAGGTACCAATATAAAAACAAAACCGAGAGTTTTAGGAAATAAACACACCAGTTATGTTAAGTGATAGAAAATTTAAAATTATATTGAT